AACTGCCCTGTGAAAAGAAGAGGTGTATACTTACGTATTCTGAGGGCACTCTAGTCTGGTCACATGATCAGCTGCCAGCAGCGTCTTCAGGGGAGAGGAGAGACAGCTGACAATGGATGCACCCGTAGCACGCTTATAGGCGACGTCACTGCACATGCATTTCATTCATTGATGGCGATCTCTCCTCTCCCCTAAAGCCAGCTGCTGAGGAGATCACATGACCGGATCGGAGCGCCCTCAGAATAGCAAGTATACACATCTTCCTTTCACAGGGTAACTAAAATGGGAGGCAGAATGAGGGTGAGAGCAGGTTTAAGCATAGCATGCTTGGACTTCCCCTTTAAGAATACATACTTGAATCGATTTCTTTAAAACCAGAATTTAGTGCCGCAAACATGAGTGTTACACAAAGCGCTTCATGTCTCAGTTCCATATTTCTACTGCCACGCCGACAACATATACTGGATATGACAAACTCCCCCCTCACCTCCTCTTCTTCAGTGGTCTCTGTGTTGGGTCCATTCTGTGTATCCTGGAAGAGAATTTTCTTCATTTTCCGATATTGCAGGTTGTCCAGCTCTCGCACTGCGTCCTTTGTGCGCTGGATCAGCTCCATGATAACGGTCTGCGGCCTCTCCCTCTGCAGGAATCGGTGCTGGAAACAAGACAAGAGCAATGGTTGCAATAAGCGCACAATAAAAGCTATACTGGGGCAATCTACTTCTTCAAAGGAGCAGTACAGCTAAAGCTTGTTTGGCTGTATTCCTGTGGATCATAGGCGTGGTGTGTTCTGCACTCCTGTGACCTGTTTTTAGCCGATAGCGGGCTAAAGTCGGTTGACATCATTCAGCCGGTCCAGGCTGAGGAAAGATCCCGACCATATGGTCGGGATCCACCCAGGAGCCTGGCTCAGCCTGTCAGCCCCAGCTTTCTGCTCAGAGCGGCAGGGAGAACTGAGCAAACAGTAGTGTCTGATCGCTCAGGTCTCACCCTTAGAACCGGCGGAGGAAGGGAATCAGTGCTGCATCCAGCTAAGTATTAAAAAAAAAAAATCCCCAAACTTCTCTTAACAAATCATTTACCTTTATTACTGAACAATTAGACTGAACGACTGACATGTACTTCCGACTATATACAGTGCTCAGCATAATTGAGTACAACCCTTTTGAAAAGTAAGATTTTAGTCAATATCTCAATGAACAGAAGAACAATTTCCAGCATTTTTACAAAACGGATTTCTATAGAACATTTGTTCGGCTCATTACATGGAAGGAAGGTTAATAATAGATCTTAGATGACAAAATCTTCAGTTTTACTCAAATTAATTGATGCAAAAATGAATCCACCCAACAGCAAAGGCTACTCCATCTAGTATTTTGTAGGACCTCCATGATTTGTAAGGACGGCACCAAGTCTTCCAGGCATGGAATGAACAAGTTGGCGACAATACAACATCGATCTTTCTTCATTCATCAAGAACGACCTCTTTTAGAGCCTGGATGATGGATGGAGAGCGATGCTCAGCTTGTCTCTTCAGAATTCCCCATAGGTGTTCGATTGGGTTCAGATCAGGAGACATACTTGGCCACCGATTCCCTTTCACCCGATTCTTCTTCAGAAATACAACAGTGGCCTTAGATGTGTGTTTTGGATCGTTGTCATGTTGGAAAAGTGCACAATAAACAAGGATATGGAGTGATGGTAACATCTTCACTTTCAACATACAGCAGTCCATCTGTGAATTCATGACACCATCAATGAAATGCAGCTCCCCGACACAAGCAGCATTCATGTTGCCCCACAGAAGGGGCAACACTGCCACCACCATGTTTCACAGTACGAACCATGCATTTTTCTTTGTACTCCTCACCTTTGGTACGCCATACAGTTTTGAAGCCATCAGTTCCAAATAAAATTTATCTCGGTCTTATCACTCCAGAGTAGAGTCCCAGTAGTCTTCTTTTTCCAGCATGGGCCCTGACACATTCTAGGCGCTTTTTTGTGCATGGGTTTTAGGAGAGGCTTCCTTCGTGGACAACACCCAGGCATGCCATTCCTCTGCAGTGTACGCCATATTGTGTCACAGGAAAACAATCACCCCAGTTGGGCTTTCTACTTCTTTAGCTAACTGCAGCGAACTTTTCTTCAACCCTTCTCATCAGAAGACGCTCCTGTCAAGGTGTTAACTTCCGTGGAAGGCCTAGAAGTCTCTGTGAGATGGTTGCAGTTACATCTTGTTAAATCTTTGTATCACTTTTGCTACAGTATTCTGACTGATAAAGTAAAGCTTTGCTGATCTTCTTGTAGCCTTCACCTTTCTTGTGTAAAGAAATTATTTTCTCAGGGCTTATGACAAGATTTCTCTTCCATGTGGTGCCATTGCTGACAGCACGAAATGGGAGGGGTTTTCTTTGTTAGGCCCCTTTCACACGGGCGTTCCGTATGTCCGTTTTTCATCTGTCCATTTACGGATGTTTGGATGGTGCTTCACAGTACATACGGACAATGACCCAAAACACACTGCAAAAGCAACCCAGGAGCTTTTGAAGGAAAAGAAGTGTAATATTCCGCAATGGCCGAATCAATCACCTGATCTCAACCCAATTGAGCATGCATTTTACTTGCTGAAGGCAAAACTAAAGGCAGAAAGACCCACAAAGAATAACTGAAGACAGCTGCAGTTAGAGCCTGGCAAAGCATCAGAAAGGAGGAAACCCAGTCTTTGGTCATGTCCATGGGTTCCAGACTTCAGGCAGTCATTGACAGTAAAGAAATCTCAACAAAATATTAAAATTGAATATTTTATTCATGATTATATTCAATTGTCCAATTACTTTTGGTCCCTTGAAAAAGGGGGGGATGGCTACTCTTAAGAGCTGTAATTCCTGAACCCTTCCTGCAATTTGGATGTACATACTCTCAAATTAAACCTGAGAGTGTGAACTTTCAGCCCATATCCAGCATTATATACATACAGCTTGAATATGTTTTGGTAAATACCTGAAAAAACTAAAATTGTGCCCGTGTCCAAATATATATGGACCTAACTATATATATATCCATCTATCTCATAGATAGATAGATAGATAGAAAGATAGATAGATAGAAAGATAGATAATAGATAGAAAGATAGATAGATAGATAGATAGATAGATAGATAATAGATAGGTAATAGATAGATAGATAGAAAGATAGATAATAGATAGAAAGATAGATAGATAGATAGATAGATAGATAGATAGATAGATATAGATAGATAGATAATAGATAATAGATAGATAGATAGATAATAGATAGATAGATGATAGATACGGATAGATAGATAATAGATAGATAGATAGAAAGAAAGATAATAGATAGATAGATAGAAAGTAGATAGATAATAGATAGATAGATGATAGATACGGATAGATAGATAGATAGATAGATAGATAGAGCATTCATGGGACATGTTAGCAAAAAAAACAACAAAAAAACAAATTAGACAAACATTAGTTCAACTTGTGATAGCATCAGTTAAACTTATTTCACCTTCAGCAACATATCAGAGCTGGGCCTGTCCTGTGGGATCTTCTGAAGACACGAATCCACAAAGTTCCGGAAATATTCAGACCTGCACAATAGAGATCTTTAATAAGCAGTCAGCTACAGCAATTAAAAGGACATTCCATTTTAAGAGGATTTCAACTAGTTAAAGGATAAGTGCACATTTACACAAAGTGATTTACAGCTCTATAGTCTTCTTTGGGACTGTGTCCCAGGGTGGAAGCAATCATAGACAGTCTCCCATAGTAGTCCGAGGGGCTGTAATGCACGGGCCGTTTCATTAAGACATGCTGAGATGGATGTAAACAAACACGGGAGGCTGCTGCCGTCAGATTAAAGTACGCATGTGTGGAGGGGGAGGGTGGGTTGCATAGGGTCAATTTGAAGCAAAGATCAGCTAAGGCATCCTCCATGCGTTTCACGTTTCCTTGAAGTAGAAGGTATAACCTCTAACATTGGCATCATCAGCATAGCTCTTCTAATGGAGAGAATGATGAGTCAGGTGCACCTTTCCCTGTGTATGAATTGAACAAATAGCTGGCCAGATTCTACTCACCAGTGATTGGACTGCAGCACAGGAGATTCGTTCTGAGCGATGTGATATAAGGCACTCATAGCATTCATATTAAAAAGCGGGGGCTTTCTCTCCGCTACAAAAGAGAAAGAATGAAATGACAACTTTGTTAGCAATGTCAAAATAAAAAAAAAATAAAAAAAAAAAGCCCATACCATGACGAGAGCATGAAAGACTTTGGGCCAAATGTACGAACTGGAAAGACATCAGAACAGCCAGTTCTTACATTTGTCCCATATTTATGTAGGAGCAGAAAATTACGCAGCAGTAAAATGTGAGGTGCAAGACTTCAACATGCTGCAACATCAGCACAGCTGTCAATTGAGCCTCACACTTCATATGTGCATATGCATGCTAGGAATTGGGAGCTTTTGGATCATGTATGTGACGGCCAATCGTAGCAGTTACATGATCGGAATGCCCGCCTTCTGGCTTTTAGATCCTCTAAGTGCCGGGAGGCAGCAGCGGAAAGTGTTTAACCCCTTGGCGCCAGCGCCTCCCAGCCCTTTAAGGTATTCAGAAGCCGGGAGGTGGGGCGAGGTTTTAGGGTCATGTGACTGCCGTGATGTGACCGTCACATGATCGGGAAAGGTCCCGATCGAAAGAGGAGATAGGGACCTTTCCGTGAGTACCGGAAATGTGTGCTGGGAGCGCGCAGGGCTTGCGCTCTCAGCACATTTTTTTAATTGCACACAAATGTGCGGCCCGCTCGGCGTCTAGGCCCAGATGCCGGGAGGCTGCACATTTGTGTGTGGCCGGCGTGAAGAGGTTAAGATAAAAGGAAAAATATTTCAAAGTGCCACAAGCAGAATTCTACAGCAGCTACCAAGGACTCAATCACACAGGGTGTGCTGATGCACAGTGGCTAAATGGTTAGCACTTTCGCCTGGTAGTGCTGGGGTCGTTGGTTCGAATCCCAGTCACGGCACCACCTGCCTGGAGTTTGCATGTTCTCCCTGTGCCTGCGTGGGTTTCCTCCGGGTACTCCGGTTTCCTCCCACACGCCAAAGACATGCTGGTAGGTTAATTGACTCCTGTCTACATTGTCCCTAGTATGTGTATGTATGAATGTGAGTTAGGGACCTTAGATTGTACGCCCCTTGAGGGTTAGGGACTGATGTGACTGTACAATATATGTGTAAAGCACTGCGTAAATGGACGGCGCTATATAAGTACCTGAAATACAAATAAATAAATACACTGGGGGTGCACAGGGGTTCAGTGCATCCAGTTAAAGTCATGTCTTTTGGACACACCCGGCTGCATGAGCACAGCCACTGCTCTTAATTTGACATCCGTGAGGGCAGACGGTGTGCATTCAGGGGCCAAGCACCCGCATGGATTTCAAATTAGGAGCAGTGGCTGTGCCCATGCAGCTGCTGCATCCCAAAAGACATGTAAGGGACTGGCTGCACAAGGGTGCACGGGGTACACATTGATATGCCCTGTGTGAACGAGGCCTGAATGCTAAAAAAACAGTTTTATCCAGAGAAAGCCTTTCTTCTGGATACTCCACGGCACAAATTGCCGTTTCTACATAAGGAAAGATAGTCTTTATCTGCCGCCAGTAAGTATACTTCATCAAAGTGAATAATCCCAATAATCACAAACTGTTTCTCCCTTTTTTCCCCCCTACTGAAAATTGAAGGGCAGAATCTGATAACTGCTCATTAGCAGCAATAGTAACGACAGAATTCAAGAGCCAGTCAGTCCAATCCATAAGCATCAATATGCAGTGGGTTTGGAGTGCCATTAAAAATAGTCAAAGCTTTTTTTAGATGAAGAATTCCTTCATTGGTAACAAATGGAAAAATGGCCAACGACTTCTAGGGGCTCAAAGAAAGGATTTCCATGCCGTGTGCAATCAGAAGACCAGTGCTGAATAGAGCAAAAGGACTGAGTGCTTAACCCCCCCGCCTACCGGGCACTTATACCCCCTTCCTGCCCAGGCCAATTTTCAGCTTTCAGTGTTGTCGCACTTTGAGTCACAATTGCACGGCCGTGCAAAACACTGTACCCATATGAAAGGTTTACCATTTTTTTCACACAAATAGAGCTTTCTTTCGGTGGTATGTACTCGCCACTGGGTGTTTTATTTTTTGCTTTATAAACAAAAAAAAAAAAAAAAGAGAAAAAATTAAAAAAAAAAAAAAAAAAGTTTTCTTTTTTCTATTATAAAATTTTGCCAACAGGTACATTTTTCGCTTTTACTGATGTGCTTTGATGAGGCTGCACTGATAGGCAGCCCCGATGAGCTGGCAGTGATATGCAACGATGGGCACTGATAGGCAGCACTGATATGCAACAATGAGTGGCACTGCTGGGCACTGATCATCAGTGCCCTGATGATTGGTGCCGATCCGTCCTCTGACAATTGCCGGTTATCGGCAGCACTTTCCTCAGGCTGTGACACCGTGAGGAAAGTGCAGCCGATAACCGGCAACTGCATTTACTGGTGATCTGCTCTGTCATTGGACACAGCTGATCACGTGGTAAAAGGCCATGTCATAGGACACAGCGATCACAGGGATCGCCAGGGACGCGCGGAAGGGGCCCTTCTAGAACTGGCCGGCCGCCGTGAAGCTGTCATTCGGCTATCTACGGTCGGCAAGTGGGTAAAGTGGTGTTAAAGACAGAAGTTTTTTTTTACCTTTGTGTATTCTGTGCATGAAGATAAGAAAACCTTCTGTGTGTTACACCCCCCACAGCCCCCCCTAATACTCACCTGAGCCCCCCTCAATCCACTGATCTGCACAAGAGCCTTGGCTGTCCTCTGACCCTCTGCTCATTGGCTGAGACAGCAGCAGGAATCACTGGCTCCCACTGCTGTCAATCACAGGTGATGAGGGAGCGGGTGGACACAGAGCCAGGCTCGAGAGTGATCACACACCAGTGCTCCCATAGCAGAGAGCAGGTAAGTATAGCTTTTTTTTTTTTTTTTTTTTTTTAAGCTAAACCTTAAAATACCACTTTAAGTTAAAAAAGAAAAAAAAAAACTGGCTAGAATACACCTGCTCAACGCCTACTCCGCAGAGCCCCGAGGAAGGAGTTGCTTTAAATCTCCTGAAGTATTCTGGCTTTACATGGGTTACCTATAAAGGAATGCATTCTTCATGTATGGGTGCACATCACCCAATAATTACTGAGGTTACACTGTTGAAGGTTCTAAATCCTGGCTGGTCCCTATATGAGAGGAGCTGACTCTGGGGAAAAAAAACCCCCAAAAAACTGATCCCTACTTGTTCAAAAATTGGGAGCAAACCGTTACACACAGGACACCAGCACCAGTCTGCATATCTACTAAATACAATCCAGGATTTGGCAATTTTTCTGATTCCAGCTCCCCCCACCCTGGGAGGAGAGTCAAAAGATTAAAATATCCAAAATCATACTCACCTAACTCAATGCTGGTGATCCCAAGAGACCAGACATCCACCTTTCCATCATACTGCCCCTCATCCATAGCCAGAATCACCTCTGGAGCCATCCTGCAGAAGATGAAAAAACCATCACGGTAGAAACATTTGACAAAAAAGATTGTTTTTATTAAAGGATCTGTTCACTTTACCAACGTTACACCCATATTTAAGATGCAACACATTTGTAATCCGCAGCCCCCTCACCCCCAGAGCCATTTCCCCTGTGACAGTGGACAGGAGATCTTCTTCCTGCAGCCGCTGCCACAATTTAAAAAAGGCTCCACCCACATAGCCATGTCAATTTTCATACAGATCTACGACTGAAATATTGAGTATGGTTTGGAGGTATCCCGTAAGCATGTTATTGAAATCAATTGTGTGTCTGTAATGTTGGCCTTTCAGCCGCACACAAATATCCTCTTCCCAACGCACAGTATTTGTTACCATTTTTTTTGTATTGCTGTACATCTCTTGTGGCAGTGCCTGGTTCTCTACGCCCCAATACCAAGATTGGTCTCCCACAGACTTCAGGGGTTCAGAGCAGTGGCATCCCTAGGGGAGTGCGGGGGGGGGGGGTGTGGGCCGCTCTGGGTGACACCATCACATGGGGTGCAGGAGCAGGATGCCGGCACAGTGACACCTGCCCCCTCCCCGGTGTAGCAGTAAAATGAGTATCCCCTGAAGCAACTGCGCATGTGCCAGTTTCAGGCCGAAGAAGCCGATCGGCGGCTATGTGCTAAAGTTGAAGATCGGCTTCTTCGGCCTGAAACCGGCACATGCGCAGTTGCTTCAGGGGATACATATCTTCAAGGGATACTCATTTTTACCACTACACCGGCACCGCTCCTTCCTCTCTGGAGGGGTGACACCATGTGTTACCGCACCGGGTGACACCAACCCTAGGGACACCTCTGGTTCATCTATCACTGAATAAACTACAAGTACCATCCGCCACTATAGCAGATGGACTAGTAGTTCTCAATAGACTACGAATACAGAATACAATGATCTACATCCTCACAGTCCATTGACACCTCCTGCAGCTTAGTATGGAAGTACGGGCAGACAGCTGTAGGCAGGGTCTTAAAGAGCCTAACATTGCACCAGCCATCTATTCATCACAGGTGCAATGCTTTGCAGGATCCTATGTAAAAAAAATTAATAAAAAAAATGCACATTTTGTACCTCTAAATAGTTTTTTTTTTTGCCAAAAAGTGAGCCTTTAATTCCCCTGCCCCTCATATTTGATATCAGCTCTCCCGTTAGCCAGCAGGCAGTGGTAGATTTCCCCAGCCCTCTACATATCAGGTCCAGGAGATCGATCTATTGCGCTAGATGTTCTACTTACCAGTATGGCGTCCCCACAAAGGAATTGGCTGGAGCTACTATGGAAGCAGAGCCAAAATCCCCAAGCTTTACCAGGCCTGGCTCTGTCAGGAGAATGTTCCCAGCCTTCACATCTCTGTATGAGACAAAAGGTGAACAGTGTAAAAAAAATAAACAAACTGTATAGGGTTTGAGGAGGTAAAAACAGCAGTAATGACTGACCTATGTATCATGTTGTGGTTATGGAGGTAGGCCAGGCCTTGGAGTGCACCGTGGGTAATAGCAGCAATCTCCACTTCCTGGAGGGGTTTCTTGTGCACTGCAGATACATCAAAGGAGGACGTCACGAGACAAGCGCTCTCAGGGTGTATAAAAACTCAAGGCATGGGAGATGGAGAACTTACAGTAAAACCCAAACTTTACATTTTGGATAGTAACCTATTGATTATATTGGACTGGTCCCTGCATTACCACAGCAATTACATATAGACAAACAGTAACAATGTATTGCAGAGGACTTTTTCCAGTCCGGACAACCCCCCCCTTCCAGTCCGGACACTTCCCCCCCCCTTCCAGTCCGGACACTTTAACCACTTCCAGTCCGGACACTCCCCCCCCCCCCCCTTCCAGTCCGGACACTTTAACCCCCCCCCCCCCTTCCAGTCCGGACACTTTCCCCCCCCCCCCTTCCAGTCCGGACACTTTCCCCCCCCCTTCCAGTCCGGACACTTTTCCCCCCCCTTCCAGTCCGGACACTTTTCCCCCCCTTCCAGTCCAGACACTTTCCCCCCCTTCCAGTCCGGACACTTTCCCCCCCTTCCAGTCCGGACACTTTCCCCCCCTTCCAGTCCAGACACTTTCCCCCCCTTCCAGTCCAGACACTTTCCCCCCCTTCCAGTCCAGACACTTTCCCCCCTTCCAGTCCAGACACTTTCCCCCCCTTCCAGTCCAGACACTTTCCCCCCCTTCCAGTCCAGACACTTTCCCCCCCTTCCAGTCCAGACACTTTCCCCCCTTCCAGTCCAGACACTTTTTTCCCCCCCTTCCAGTCCAGACACTTTCCCCCCTTCCAGTCCAGACACTTTCCCCCCCTTCCAGTCCAGACACTTCCCCCCCCCCCCCCCTTCCAGTCCAGACACTTTCCCCCCCTTCCAGTCCAGACACTTTCCCCCCCCTTCCAGTCCAGACACTTTCCCCCCCTTCCAGTCCAGACACTTTCCCCCCCTTCCAGTCCAGACACTTTCCCCCCCTTCCAGTCCAGACACTTTCCCCCCCTTCCAGTCCAGACACTTTCCCCCCCTTCCAGTCCAGACACTTTCCCCCCCTTCCAGTCCAGACACTTTCCCCCCCTTCCAGTCCAGACACTTTCCCCCCCTTCCAGTCCAGACACTTTCCCCCCCTTCCAGTCCAGACACTTTTTTCCCCCCCTTCCAGTCCAGACACTTTTCCCCCCTTCCAGTCCAGACACTTTCCCCCCTTCCAGTCCCCCTTTCACCCTTTTCCCAGTTCCCAGACACTTTCACCCCCTTCCAGTCCGGACACTTCCCCCCCCCCCCCCCTACCCAGACCGGAGACCCCCCCCCCCCTTCCAGTCCAGACACTTTCCCCCCCCCCCCGGACGCTTTCCCCCCCCTTCCAGTCCGGACGCTTTCCCCCCCCTTCCAGTCCAGACACTTTCCCCCCCTTTCCCCCCTTTCCAGTCCAGACACTTTCCCCCCCCTTCCAGTCCGGACTGGCTTTCCCCCCCTTCCAGTCCAGACACTTTCCCCCCCCCCTTCCAGTCCAGACACTTCCCCCCCTTCCAGTCCAGACACTTTCCCCCCCCCCTTCCAGTCCAGACACTTTTTCCCCCCCTTCCAGTCCAGACACTTTCCCCCCCTTCCAGTCCAGACACTTTACCCCCCCCTTCCAGTCCAGACACTTTCCCCCCCCCCCAGTCCAGACACTTTCCCCCCCTTCCAGTCCGGACACTTTCCCCCCTTCCAGTCCAGACACTTTTACCACCTTCCAGTCCGGACACTTTCCCCCCCCTGCCAGTTCCAGACACTTTCCCCCCCCCTTCCAGTCCAGACACTTTCACCCCTTTTCCAGTCCGGACACTTTTACCCCCTTCCAGTCCAGACACTTTCACCCCCTTCCAGTCCCTGACACTTTCACCCCCTTCCAGTCCAGACACTTTCAACCCCCTTCCAGTCCAGACACTTTCACCCCCTTCCAGTCCAGACACTTTCACCCCTTCCAGTCCAGACACTTTCACCCCCTTCCAGTCCAGACACTTTCACCCCCTTCCAGTCCAGACACTTTCACCCCCTTCCAGTCCAGACACTTTCACCCCCTTCCAGTCCAGACACTTTCACCCCCTTCCAGTCCAGACACTTTCACCCCCTTCCAGTCCAGACACTTTCACCCTTTTCCAGTCCAGACACTTTCACCCCCTTCCAGTCCAGACCCTATTTCACCCCCTTCCTGTCCAGGCCAATTTTCAGCTTTCAGTGCTGTCACACTTTGAATGACAATTGCACAGTCATGCAACACCAAATGATTTTTTAGCATTTTTTTTGAGATAGATAAAACTTTATTTTGGTGGTATTTATTCACCACTGGGATTTTTATTTTTTTGCTATATAAATGAAAAATCCAAACATTTTGAAAAAAAAACTGTTTTTTCTAATAAAATTTTGCAAATAAATAATCTTTCATCATAAATCTTGGCCAAAATGTATTCCGCTATCTTTTTAGTAAAAAAAAAAATTAAAAACAAAAAAAAACAAAAAATTAGTTTATAACCCAAAATTTTAATTTTTCAAAACTTATTTTTTTCTTTTTTTTTTACTCTTTTATACTATTATTTATGTTTTGTTTTTGTAACATACTGTCACCTTAGCAGTACAGTGTCACAATAGTGACACTGTACTACTTGTGGAGGGTGGTGGGGGTTTGATTATTTATTTTTTTTACACTGATTGCTTTTACACCCATAAAGGCTGTAAAAGCAATAATTTCTCCTCTCTGGCTGCATTCTTGTAGCCATTGAGAAATACTGTGAGAGCTGTGATTGGTCATAGCTTGTCACATGGTACAAGGCTGTTGTGAATAGTCACAGATTTCACATGTAGTACGCAATGTCAGGAAGTGACATCTTGCTTACCACTATTCATGTGATCACTGATTGGCCAATCAGTGATCACACGATCGGGACCTCCCGCTTCGGAATTGCTCCCATCAGGCCATTTATGTACATGGGCTGGACGGGAAGTGGTTAAAAGGTGCCATAGTAACAGCAGGACAAATGCATCAAACAACTAGAAGTTATTTTATAAAGCTTACATTTTCATTTAAAATACTGCAAGACATTCATGACCGCTTATGTAGATGCTGCAACGCACAAGGTTAGATCTCTCATAAAAAATGGAGAACACCCCCAAAACACCAGACCCCCTCTAGCACAGAATCTGTGTGGTTTTGTTACATATGCACATGAGTATTACACGATAGGCATAACATATTCTGACCACGGACAGGGAAAGTGAATAACATTGATTATCTCGTTACAATGGCATCTGAAAGTGGGTGGGATATATTAGGCAGCAAGTGAACATGTTCTCCCTGAAGTTGATGTGTTGAAAACAGAAAAAATGGGAACGCATAAGAAATATGAGCGGCTTTGTCAAAGGCAACATTGTAATGGGCAGATGACTGGATTAGAGGAACTCCAAAACTGCAGCTCTTGTGGGATGTTCCCGGTCTGCAGTAGGCAGGACCCACCAAAAGTGGTCCAAGGAAGGAAAAGCGGCATCGGGTCATGAGCAGCCAAGGCTCATTGATGCAGTGAGGAGAAAATGCTGGCCAGTGAAGTCGGATCCAACAGAAGAGCTACTGTAGCTCAAATTGCTGAAAAATGTTATGCTGGTTTCCCATAAAAAGGTGTCAGTACACACAGTGCATCACAATTTGTTGTGTATGAGGATGCGTAGCTGCAGACCGCTCTGGGTGCCCATGTGGACCACAGTCAAAAGTGGTCACAGGTGAGCATTAGAACTGGACAACAGAGCAATGGAAAAGGTGTCTTCAAGGTGTTGATTTTGCCTCCGAATTCTCCAGATCCCAATCCAATTGAGAATCTGTGGGATGTAGAGACCCCACCACACAACTTACAGGACCCTAAAGGATCTGCTTTTGACAACTTAATGCCAGACACCACATACCTTCAGAGGTTTAGTGGCATTCATGCCTTGCCAGGCCAGAGCTGTTTTGGTGGCAAAAAGGGAACCTACCTTAATATTAGGTGGATGGTCACAATGTTATGGATGATTGGTGTACATCTCCATATGTGCATCCTCAGTTCCCATGAGCAAGCAAACTACACATTATTTCTGCAGTTTACAGATTTCTCATCAGTTTGATTCAATAACAGCTGATTCATGCAATGGGATGGGGTCATTGTAACGCGTTCCCAAGATATTTATTTCGCACCTTCAAGAGATAACAGGTGACATACCTACAATATAGTATTTAGCTTGGGTTATTATAGCAGATAATTGAAATAGTGTGGCGCTCTAAATAAATAACCAATAATAAATAAATAATAAATAACCAATAATAAAAATAAAAATATATATAATATATATAAATGTGACAAATTCATATATTAAAAAAACCATGAAACAATCCCAAATAGATAATATAAAAATACCAATAATAATAAATCCTAATTCAAATAAACCTCAAGTGATCACTTAAATAATTAATAAATTAACTCTAGTGTCTAGGATCAATGATCAAAGTCATGCTTGTACATAAAAATAAAGTGACCAAGTAATATTGCACCATATGCAAAGTGGAAAAAGTGCTAAAGTGCCAAAATAAGTGCAAAAAACATATCATCAAACTTATTAGAATAATCAATGAAAAAACACAGTCCATCAGGTGAAAAAATAACCATGCTATGTGTGGTGATGAAAATTCGTGGTTGGTGCCAATTAGGATTAGGATTTATTACACATTGGTATTTTTTATTATCTATTTGGGATTGTTTCATGGATTTTAATATATGAATTTGTCACATTTATATATATTTAATTTATTTGGTCACATATATATATATATTTTTTTCATTTATATATATATTTATTTATTATTGGTTATTTATTTAGAGCGCCACACTATTTCAATTATTTAGTTCACACTGTATGAGGTATCAGCAGAGGAGTGTTGGCAGCTTAAAATTGGTCCTTTTACCATTTGTAGCGCAGGAGGATTTTTTGATTATTTATTATAGCAGATGACTAAACTGTCAGTTTTTTTATTTTCATGTTGCTGTTTATGTCCAATTGGCGAGATACCCCTTTACTTCCTTTCCCTGAGACACAGCAAGAAGTGAGAGGATCTCTCTAAAACGTGAGGGGAACCCCCTGTTAGACAGCTTTCAGTGTCCCCTTTGAAAAACATCCTGTTCTTTGGATTTTCAATCACCGTCTGTCAGACAATGGTCAAATACTGAGGTTACATTTACATACACAAAAACTTCAGGTCTAACCCTTTACACACTTGCCGTAAAAAAAAAAAAAAAGTTTTGGTTAAACATGTACAGTATCTCCCAGAAGTGAGTCCACCCCTCCCCCGGACTGTATACAATGTATAATATTTAAATATATATACTGTATTTTTCGTTCCATAAGACGCACATTTTTCCCCCCAAAAAAAGGGGGGAAAATGTCAGTGCGTCTTATGGAGAGAATGTAAAACGGCTGGTCCGGTATTTCTGTCGCCCACCATGTCAGAATATCGGGCCAGCCGCTCAGCTCTTCTCTCCTGCAGGACCTTACCTGTTCCTCGCTCCAGCGCAGCAGTCTTCCCGCGGCAGCTTCTGTGACAGCCGGGTGCCCACTGCGCATGTGCGAGAAGCGCTGCGCTTTGTGAATGGTCCGGCGTCCTCTGGGACACATGCCAGGTCCCAGAAGGCTCCGGGCCATTCACAAAGCGCAGCGCTTCTCGCACATGTGCAGTGGGCACTCGGCTGTCACAGAAGCCGCCGCGGGAAGAAGAAGGACAACGCCGCGGAAGTGGGAGCGGGTACCTGTCAAATTCAAGTACCCGTTCCCCCTCCCTCCCCAAAGGTCCGCAGTCTCTGGTAAGCTCCTTTACTGTCTGCAGTCTCTGGTCATCTCCTGTACTATGTCTACAGTCTCTGGTCATCTCATGTAGTGTGTCCGCAGTCTCTGGTCATCTCCTGTACTATGTCCGCAGTCTCTGGTCATCTCCTGTACCGTGTCCGCAGTCTCTGGTCATCTCCTGTACTGTGTCCGCAGTCTCTGGTCATCTCCTGTACCGTGTCCGCAGTCTCTGGTCATCTCCTGTACCGTGTCCGCAGTCTCTGGTCATCTCCTGTACCGTGTCCGCAGTCTCTGGTCATCTCCTGTACCGTGTCCGCAGTCTCTGGTCATCTCCTGTATTATGTACTGTGTCCGCAGTCTCTGGTCATCTCCTGTACCGTGTCCGCAGTCTCTGGTCATCTCCTGTATTATGTCCGCAGTCTCTGGTCATCTCCTGTACCGTGTCCGCAGTCTCTGGTCATCTCCTGTATTATGTCCGCAGTCTCTGGTCATCTCCTGTACCGTGTCCGCAGTCTCTGGTCATCTCCTGTACCTGTGCAGTCCGCAGTCTCTGGTCATCTCCTGTACCGTGTCCGCAGTCTCTGGTCATCTCCTGTACCGTGTCCGCAGTCTCTGGTCATCTCCTGTACTGTGTCCGCAGTCTCCTGGTCATCTCCTGTACTAGTGTCCGCAGTCTCTGGTCATCTCCTGTACCGTGTCCGCAGTCTCTGGTCATCTCCTGTACCGTGTCCGCAGTCTCCGGTCATCTCCCTGTACTATGTGTCCGCAGTCTCTGGTCATCTCCTGTACCGTGTCATCTCCTGTACTCCTGTAACCGTGTCCGCAGTCTCTGGTCATCTCCTGTACCGTGTCCGCAGTCTCTGGTCATCTCCTGTACCGTGTCCGCAGTCTCTGGTCATCTCCTGTACCGTGTCCGCAGTCTCTCTGGTCATCTCCTGTACCGTGTCCGCAGTCTCCTGGTCATCTCCTGTACCGTGTCCGCAGTCTCTGGTCATCTCCTGTACCGTGTCCGCAGTCTCTGGTCATCTCCTGTACTGTGTCCGCAGTCTCCGGTCATCTCCTGTACTGTGTCCGCAGTCTCCGGTCATCTCCTGTACCGTGTCCGCAGTCTCTGGTTATCTCCTGTACTATGTCCGCTGCCTCTGGTCATCCCCTGTACTGTGTCCGCAGTCTCTGGTCATCTCCTGTACTGTGTCCGCAGTCTCTGGTCATCCCCTGTACTGTGTCCGCAGTCTCTGGTCATCTCCTGTACTGTGTCCCCCTGTACTGTGTCCCGCAGTCTCTGGTCATCCCCTGTTACTGTGTCCGCAGTCTCTGGTCATCCCCTGTACTGTGTCCGCAGTCCACTCTGGTCATCCCCTGTACTGTGTCTGCAGTCTCTGGTCATCCCCTGTACTGTGTCCGCAGACTCTGGTCATCCCCTGTACTGTGTCTGCAGTCTCTGGTCATCCCCTGTACTGTGTCCGCAGTCCATTGGTTCAGAATATTTTTTTTCTTGTTTTCTCCTCTAAAACCTAGGTGCGTCTTATGGAGGAACGAAAAATACGATATATATATATGTATATTATATATATATACACATACACACACAGTATCTCCCAAAAGTGAGTCCCCCCCTTTTTGTCAATCTTTGATTCTCTCTTTTCATGTGACAACACTGAAGAAATGACACTTTGCTACAATGTGACGTAGTCAGTGTACAGCTTGTATAACATGTATTCACACCTATGCGATCTGATTCTGCACATTGCACAGTGTTTTGTGGACCGATGTCAGGGTGTTAACATACACAACCACATCGGTTCGTATGAAAGTGGTTCGATTGTGATGGAATTCGTACTGAAAACACGCAAATTTTGCACCGCGTCAGTGTGAACCAGGGCTAAAAGTATGTCACGTTAAAACAGCCTCATGCACAGAAAAATATCTCCCGACCTGCCAGAAAATCCAGTATTTACCCAACTTCCTAATAGCGTTCAACATAGTGCTTCTAAAATCTGAAACCGTGTTGCCAGCCCTGGTGGACTACAGAACACCTCCTCACTTCCATAACATAGGAGGATGTGTTTGGTAGTTCAGTAGGGGAAAAATCAGGCAGGGATGACAACACAACTTGGGATTTCAGTGCAGCAACAATGACAGCTCACTGGAGGAAGTTAGGAGATCACTGGATTTATGACAGGTTAACAGTGGCTAAATGGTTAGCACTTCCGCCTGGCAGTACTCGGGTCGTTTGTTTGAATCCCAGCCACGGCACCTCCTGCCTGGAGTTTTGCATGTTCTCCCTGTGCCTGCGTGGGTTTTCTCCGGGTACTCCGGTTTCCTCCCACACTCCAAAGACATGCTGGTAGGTTAATTGGCTCCTGTCTATATTGTCCCTAGTATGTGTATGTAATGTGGGTTAGGGACCTTAGATTGTACCCCCCTTGAGGGTTAGGGACTGATGTGAATGTACAATATATATGTAAAGCGCTTCACAAATTGACAGCGATATATAAGTACCTGAAATAAATAATAATAATTTTCTGAAACGTGAAGCATTTCATAGGAAATGTGTATGTGCTGCAGGTTTGTATCAGATGTTATGGCTACACTGAGTGCTATCAGACCACATAACTGATTGCTGCCACCAACCATCATAATCATCAAAATCGAGGGAACTATAAAATACCTAGCTGGGATATGACACTCACCCTCCAGGAGATCGGAAGCGGATCCCAGGCAGTACTCCATCACCAGCTGAGGGAGAACAAGACAGAGAGAGTGAGAGGATAAAGTGAGTGGGAAAGAGGGAGAACATAAGCACAAGAGTGAGAGAGACCAACAAAGAGGGAAAAGAGGGAAAAAGAGGAAGATAGCGAGAAAGCAGGGACAAAAGGGCAAGAGCCAGCAGTAATACAAGAGACCCGATATAGAGACAGAGGCGAGCGCAAGAGAGAGGGCGAGCGCAAGAGAGAGGGCGAGCGCAAGAGAGAGGGCGAGCGCAAGAGAGAGGGTGAGCGCAAGAGAGCACGAGAACGAAAGCACAAGAGCGAGAGAGTGCGAGAACGGGGGAGCACAAGAGCGAGAGAGCGGGAGAACAGGGGGAGCACAAGAGCGCGAGAAAGGGGAGCACAAGAGCGCGACAACGGGGAGCACAAGAGCGCGACAACGGGGGAGCACAAGAGCGCGACAACGGGGGAGCACAAGAGCGCGACAACGGGGGAGCACAAGAGCGCGACAACGGGGGAGCACAAGAGCGCGACAACGGGGGAGCACAAGAGCGCGACAACGGGGGAGCACAAGAGCGCGACAACGGGGGAGCACAAGAGCGCGACAACGGGGGAGCACAAGAGCGAGAGAGCGCGAGAACGGGGGAGCACAAGAGCGAGAGAGCGCGAGAACGGGGGGAGCACAAGAGCGAGAGAGCGCGAGAACGGGAGCACAAGAGCGAGAGAGCGTGAGAACGGGAGCACAAGAGCGAGAGAGCGCGAGAACGGGAGCACAAGAGCGAGAGAATAGGGAGCACAAGAGTGAGAGAGAGCGCGAGAACGGGAGCACAAGAGCGAGAGATGGGAGCACAAGAGCGAGAGAACGAGAGCACAAGAGCGAGAGAGCGCGAGAACGAGAGCACAAGAGCGAGAGAGCGCGAGAACGAGAGCACAAGAGTGAGCGAGAGCGCGAGAACGAAGAGCAGCACAAGAGCGAGAGAGCGCGAGAACGAGAGCACAAGAGCGAGAGAGCGCGCTGAGGAACGAGAGCACAAGAGCGAGAGCGACGCGAGAACGAGAGCACAAGAGCGAGAGAGCGCGAGAACGAGAGCACAAAAGCGAGAGAGAGCGCGAGAACGAGAGCACAAGAGCGAGAGAGCGCGAGAACGAGAGCACAAGAGCGAGAGAGCGAGGGCAAGCACAAGAACATAAGTACAGGATGAGAGAGAGTGCAAGAGTGAGGGAGCGAGAGAGATAGAGAGATAGAACAAGAGAATACAGTTAGTAAGGGGTATATCAAACACTTCAGATTCATTCATGTCATCCTATGCAGCTTTCTAGAGGAAATGTAAAGGAAGACTCCCGCTCAGCACTACTTATAATCCAAACTGACCACATAACATAACATTCCAAATGCTATTTCAAAAAACAAAACAACAAAAAGCACTTCCTGTTTCTGGGGTCCCCATGCCTCTAACAGCTACGCATGAGGAAGAATTCATAAAACTAGGGAGCGGTGTGGCTTCTCCTGCATGTCATGGGTGTCAGTGGTGGGGTGAGCGCAGACATGGCATTCACTGGCTCCCGATGATTATACAGCTGAACACACAGATTCACCTCCAGTCTAGTTTGCTTTGCAGCAATAAATATGATCCGGGCAATATATGGAGGCGATAAGGACAGGGGGGAATTAGAAATGAAAAAAGGTCTAAACCATCAATCATGCGGCAGATTCAGTGGCCGGGCACATGACAGAGGGGCTGCTTTAGGCCAGAGGTGAGCGGGTGATGGCCGCGTTGGAGAGAAGAGGGGGCGTTTGGCAGTGACGCGGGCAGCCCGCAGGGGGCCTTTTTGTGTGATGGCTTTTTCTGTATCGACACAGTGTGCTGTACAGCCTCCCACACAAAGCAATCACAAAAGAGACTCAGCGTTACATGTACCGGAGCCTCGGCACAGACAAGACTCCTTATGTATAGATCTGTGCTGAAAATATACAGGTCTGGCCAGTCTCTATGTACACAGAAGTCCCCGGGAGTCTGAACACCCTGCTATGGGGTCACCAGACAAAAAAAACCCACCTTGCAGTGCCCCTCCCCACATCAAGGGTTAAATGCTCACCAAGCCTGTTCTGTACGGCGTTCACTTTGTACAATGCACGACCAATAGCCCTGCATTGTATGCGAGGACACACCCACAATCATACACGACCAATAGCCCTGCATTGTATGCGAGGACACACCCACAATCCACAATCATGCACGACCAATAGCCCTGCATTGTATGCGAGGACACACCCACAATCCACAATCATGCACGACCAATAGCCCTGCATTGTATGCGAGGACACACCCACAATCCACAATCATGCACGACCAATAGCCTGCATTGTATGCGAGGACACACCACACAATCCACAATCATGCACGACCAATAGCCCTGCATTGTATGCGAGGACACCACCACAATCCACAATCATACACGACCAATAGCCCTGCATTGTATGCGAGGACACACCCACAATCCACAATCATACACAACCAATAGCCCTGCATTGTATGCGAGGACACACCCACAATCCACAATCATGCACGAGCAATAGCCCTGCATTGTATGCGAGGACACACCCACAATCCACAATCATCATGCACGACCAATAGCCCTGCATTGTATGCGAGGACACACCCACAATCCACAATCATTCACCAATAGCCCTGCATTGTATGCGAGGACACACACCCACAATCCACAATCATACACGAGCAATAGCCCTGCATTTGTATGCGAGGACACACCCACAATCCACAATCACACACAATAGCCCTGCATTGTATGCGAGGACACACCCACAATCCACAATCATACACGACCAATAGCCCTGCATTGTATGCGAGGACACACCACCACAATCCACAATCATGCACGACCAATAGCCCTGCATTGTATGCGAGGACACACCCACAATCCACAATCATGCACGAGCAATAGCCCTGCATTGTATGCGAGGACACACCCACAATCCACAATCACGCACGACCAATAGCCCTGCATTTATGCGAGGACACACCCACAATCCACAATCATACATGACCAATAGCCCTGCATTGTATGCGAGGACACACCCACAATCCACAATCATGCACGACCAATAGCCCTGCATTGTATGCGAGGACACACCCACAATCACACATACACGACCAATAGCCCTGCATTGTATGCGAGGACACACCCACAATCCACAATCACACAGGACCAATAGCCCTGCATTGTATGCGAGGACACACCCACAATCCACAATCACACACGACCAATAGCCCTGCATTGTATGCGAGGACACACCACCCACAATCACACACGACCAATAGCCCTGCATTGTATGCGAGGACACACCCACAATCACACACGACCAATAGCCCTGCATTGTATGCGAGGACACACCCACAATCTCCAGCATCTGAGAAAAGTTGGGCACCAGAGCAAGTAAAAGGTAAGTATTACAACCCACCTCTGTACCCCGAGACTTAAGGTGCTAATTCACCTCTTCAGAAAAAAAAAATGAAAAGGTGAACACCCCCCACTCACCCCCACTCCACCCCCCCCCCCCCCCCCCGCTTGCTGTACTTACCTCTGTGGGTGCGATCCGTACCCATGCAGCTGGTATAGATGTTTGGGGATTTGAAATCTCTGATCATCTTCCCCTTTCTTCAGCAGGGCTTTCCGGGACAGACCACACCGATTGTGATTGGTCAGCACCAGGATGTGCCATGTCAGTATATCATCAATACAACTGGAGGCATCTAAGCGACTCCTCTGCCCCCCAAGTTTTTATTAAAAAAACCTCCAAAACCCTTTCTTCTGATCTATCATCATGTGTCACTTGCAGCCGCCTTTTCCACTAGGAAGGCCCTACGATCAAATGATAAACACGGGTCCACCACTTACCGGTCTAGTTAACCCTTTATATTAGGGGAAGTTCTTTAACCGCTTACCCACCGCCGTATAGCCGATATACTGCTACACGGCGGCACGGGTGCGCAAAATCACATATATATACACATGATTTTGCATTTCTGCAGCCGCGGATGTCAATCACCAGGTCCCGGCCGGTGATTACCGACAATCACTGACAGGAACGAAGACTGTTTTGTTTACAGTCTTCCTCTTGTCAGCTCAGGCACATCACAGCCATCCCGATCAGTGTGATTACTGTCCTCCTCCCTGTCAGCTCAGGCACAGCCATCCCCATCAGTGTGATTACTGTCCTCCTCCCTGTCAGCTCAGGCACAGCCATCCCCGATCAGTGTGATTACTGTCCTCCTCCCTGTCAGCTCAGGCACAGCCATCCCGATCAGTGTGATTACAGTCCCCTCCCTGTCAGCTCGGGGACACTGCTCTGGATCAGTGTGATTACAGTCGTCCTCCGTCAGCTCAGGCACAGCACAGCCATCCAATCAGTGTGATTACAGTCCTCCTCCCTGTCAGCTCAGGCACAGCACAGCCATCCCGATCAGTGTGTGTGATTGCAGTCCTCCTCCCTGTCCGCTCAGGGCACACTGCTCTGGATCAGTGTGATTACAGTCCTCCTCCCTGTCAGCTCAAGCACACTGCTCATGGATCAGTGTGATTACAGTCCTCCTCCCTGTCAGCTCAAGCACACTGCTCCGATCAGTGTGATTACAGTCCTCCATGTCCAGCTCGGGCACACTGCTCTAGATCAGTGTGATTACAGTCCTCCTCCCTGTCAGCTCAGGGGCACACTGCTCTAGATCAGTGTGATTACAGTCCTCCTCCCTGTCACCCCGTGCACACTGCTCAGCCATCCAGAGCAGTATGATTACAGTGAACTGCACACACACCGCTCCCTAGTAAAACACTCCCTACACACAGTTAACCCTTTGATCACCCTCACATTAACCCTTCCTGCCCAGTGCCATTAGTAGTGTCAGTGCTGTTTTTTAGCACTGATCACTGTATTGGTGTCACTGGGGATGTCAGTGACACCAAGTTAGCTCCCCCCCCCCCGGTGTCAGAATGCCTGCCGCAGTCCCGCTAAAAGTCGCTGATCACCATTACTAGTAGAGGGGAAAAAAAAATCCCAGTATCTATACCGCCATTTGTAAACGTTATAACTTTCACGTAAACCAATTCGTTTACACGCATTAGGATTTTTTTTTTTAGCGAAGACACGCAGCAGAATACATTTTGGCCGAAATTTATGACAAAATTTGATTTTTAACATTTTTTTTACTGGACATGTTTGATAGCAAAAAGTACAAAATATTGTTTTTTTTCTCAAAATTGTCGGTCTTTTTTTGCTTAAAGCGCAAAAAATAAAAACCGCACAGGTGATCAAATACCACCAAAAGAAAACTCGATTCGTGGGGCAAAAAAGGACAAACTTCATTTGGGTGCAGCGTTGCATGACCGCGCAATTGTCAGTTAAATTAACGCACTGCCGTAACGCAAAAAATGGCCTGATCAGGAAGGGGGGTAAATCTTCTAAAAGGGCGACGGGTTAAGAATCAACCAGGAACGGACAGATTCCTTAACTTTCTTCTGATCTCTCCAGCTTTTCCACAGATCTGGTTAACAACTAACAAACTATTAAATACAATTGAAGAAATGGGGGTCTACCGGCTCTTTAATATTGAGGTAACACTTCCTGCTGCACTCTCCTGGTGGGAAAGCGACGTGCACTCACCCAGGCAGTGTGCTCCCGTAGGTAACATCCTTTATATTCGATAGTGTTGGGGTGTCGCAGCTTCTGCAGAAATTTCACCTCTTTTATGATGTCCTGCCATTTCTGAGAACAGAAAGGAAGATGGTTATAAAGCAGATCACCTTCTCCCGCTTCATGTGAGGCCCAGAAGAGCCCCCCCGCGTCACTCACCTCATTAGACTGCTTCCCGCTATAGGACATCTTCTTAATGGCAACAACCTCATTATTGCGTACATCCCGGGCCTGCAAGAAGAAAGATCTAGATGAAAGGAAACCCTAACGCTGGTTATGCAAGACCTAATCAAGTATATCTATCAAAATGTTATGTAGGGGAGAAGAGAGGGGGGAGGCGTTTTTGTAGTCCTACCACCACTTCCTGTCCAAGAGCGACAACATAGCCAGCACTGTGGACACAGATACGGTCCGTTCTCCTCTATGGGTGGTTGGATGTAAAGGGACCGCCTGTAGGTATATGCTCAACTGCTATCCGATTAAAGCAGGGGCTTCAAAGGGAGAATGACTTGCTCGATGACAGCAGTTTAACCCCCACAGGGTCCTGACATCAAGAGTAGAGCAGGGGCCACAGGACTGCAGTGGACAGGAGGATGAGAAGGGAGAGTCCACCGTCGGATCGTGGAAGAGTGCTGCCTGCTAAGGGAGTGGAGATTCAGGTAAGCAACACCTTCTCGTCTCCCCTACACAAAATGAGAAATTATCCCTTGCAGTGCAGGCAGTGGTGTATTTAGGATCTGTGCTACCCTAGGCAACACAAAAATTACCGCCCCCCCGCAGAGAGAGCCTGACATTGACCAACAACACCCCTGCACCCCCTCCCGTGGGAGAGCCTTCCACTACCACTGCCCCCCATACACCAGCCACCATCAGCCACGGCAAGACAGAGAAAGACACTCACCTTCACAGCTCCAGACATCCCCGGGGAACAAGAGTTGGGCTCTGCATACACCGTCATGAAAAACGGTAGCCTCTCTTGGAACCCACCAAATCCCCATGCCGCGTGTCCCTTCTTCCAAAGGGCAGTGCTGGCCCCCCCCCCCAAAAAAAAAAATGCCGCCCTATGCAAATGCCTTCTTTGCTTTGTGGTAAATACACCCCTGAGCAGGGGCGTGTTTACCACTAGGCAAACAAGGCATTTGCCTAGAGTGGCATTTTTCAGGGGGGCAGCGCTGTCCCCCAAAAGAAGGGATGGAAGAAAGGAAACACGCAGCATGGGTACCAGGTGGGATCTGAGAGAGGCTGCTTGATGGTCTATGCAGAGCCCGACTCTTGTTCCCAGGGATGTCCAGAGCTGTGAAGGAGTGTGTCTTCTCTCTCGCCAGGGTGGGGGGTTGCTAGTGTATGGGGGGCGGTGGTAGTGGAAGACTCTCTCGGGTGGGGAGGTGGTGGTGTTGGTCAATATCAGGCTCTTATCGTGGAGGAGGAGGGTGTTTGTCAGTGTCAGGGTCTCACCAAAGGGGGGGGGGGGGGGGGCAATTTTTGTGTTGCCTAGGGCAGCATGAAACCTAAATGCACCACTTCCCCTGAGTGCGGGGATAGCCCCACCGCAAGGGATGAGTTGGGTCAGAGAGCTAGACCAATTAGTTTCATTTACATCTCCCTGGAGTTTGCTTTGAGTTTTTAAAACAAAAGTTGTGCCTGCTGTCCCGTATTAAGACCTAAACACTGACATTTGTTTTTTTTTTTTTTTAAATAAAATATTTGAAGGGAAAAACCAAAAAGGTTGCTGTTCTCATACAGGTTGGAGAACAAAAAGCGAAGGTTTGATGGATGTTCGCCATTTTCTGATACTCACAAAGTAGACGGCACCGAAGCTGCCATGCCCGATCTCCCGCAAGTCAGCAAACAGCTTCTCCGGGTCATCTTTGAAGAAAAGTTCGGCTACCTCAGGGTCCTTCAGACTGCCGGCCCGGGCGTTGGACGGCATGACGAGGGCCAGGGGAAGCCCCCCGCGGGGCACCGCCAGCACTCCCCACAGAGGAGCGACCCGCTGTAGCTGGAAAAAAGAGAGCCATGAAGGGACGGTTACATGATGTCATCAGAACCTGTTTATGAAACGATTCTAAGATAACACGGACAGCTCTGAATACAAATACTTTATTATAAAAAGAAAGAATAAAATCACAGGATATGCCGCTGTCACTATAAAATCAATTTCCTGAAGTGTAACTCCACTTTTCAGAAGAAAACAAACTAAAATAATCCTCTTTGGGTGATCGATGTACATTGCGGCATTTTAACAAACTTTGTTGCAGATTCCTACCTTTTGTGATTCTGAAGAAATAGCTGCTTGTGTGTCCATGTGCAGAATGAGTGCGCATGGGAGCGATTGTGTAATGATCAATCAGCTGCTGTACCTGCAGTGTTTACGGCTAGGTTCACAATATTGAACCCTACAGAATAATGCAGGCCATAGACGAGTCGAACATCGGACAATTTTTCGAAAAAAAAAAAAAAAAAAAAAATCGGTCGTCGTTCGTTCGGCCGACAGTACCACCAACGATAAAAAAAAAAAAAAATTGGCTGACTAAATCATTCAGTTCACCCCATAACTTCTGTCCCTGGCACAGCCGTACAACAGGAGAGGGTCAGAGACCGCAGCCGTACTACAGGAGAGGGTCAGAGACCGCAGCCGTACTACAGGAGAGGGTCAGAGACCACAGCCCTACAACAGGAGAGGGTCAGAGACTGCAGCCGTACTACAGGAGAGGGTCAGAGACCGCAGCCATACTACAGGAGAGGGTCAGAGACCGCAGCCGTACTACAGGAGAGGGTCAGAGACCGCAGCCGTACTACAGGAGATGCCCAGAGACTGCAGACGTACTACAGGAGATGCCCAGAGACTGCAGACGTACTACAGGAGATGCCCAGAGACCGCAGACGTACTACAGGAGATGCCCAGAGACCGCAGACGTACTACAGGAGATGGTCAGAGACCGCAGACGTACTACAGGAGATGGTCAGAGACCGCAGACGTACTACAGGAGATGGTCAGAGACCGCAGACGTACTACAGGAGATGGTCAGAGACCGCAGACGTACTACAGGAGATGGTCAGAGACCGCAGAAGTAATACAGGAGATGGTCAGAGACCGCAGACGTACTACAAGAGATGGTCAGAGACCGCAGACGTACTACAGGAGATGGTCAGAGACCGCAGAGACGTTACTACAGGAGATGGTCAGAGACCGCAGACGTACTACAGGAGATGGTCAGAGACCGCAGACATACAACAGGAGATGGTCAGAGACTGCAGCCATACTACAGGAGATGGTCAGAGACTGCAGACATAGTAGAGGAGATGGTCAGAGACTGCAGACATAGTACAGGAGATGGTCAGAGACTGCAGACATACTACAGGAGATGGTCAGAGACCGCAGACATACTACAGGAGATGGTCAGAGACCGCAGACATACTACAGGAGATGGTCAGAGACTGCAGACATAGTAGAGGAGATGGTCAGAGACTGCAGACATAGTACAGGAGATGGTCAGAGACCGCAGACATACTACAGGAGATGGTCAGAGACCGCAGACATACTACAGGAGATGGTCAGAGACTGCAGACATAGTACAGGAGATGGTCAGAGACTGCAGACACAGTACAGGAGATGGTCAGAGACTGCAGACATAGTACAGGAGATGGTCAGAGACTGCAGACATAGTAGAGGAGATGGTCAGAGACTGCAGACATAGTACAGGAGATGGTCAGAGACTGCAGACATACTACAGGAGATGGTCAGAGACCGCAGACATACTACAGGAGATGGTCAGAGACCGCAGACATACTACAGGAGATGGTCAGAGACTGCAGACATAGTAGAGGAGATGGTCAGAGACTGCAGACATAGTACAGGAGATGGTCAGAGACCGCAGACATACTACAGGAGATGGTCAGAGACCGCAGACATACTACAGGAGATGGTCAGAGACTGCAGACATAGTACAGGAGATGGTCAGAGACTGCAGACACAGTACAGGAGATGGTCAGAGACTGCAGACATAGTACAGGAGATGGTCAGAGACTGCAGACATAGTAGAGGAGATGGTCAGAGACTGCAGACATAGTACAGGAGATGGTCAGAGACTGCAGACATAGTAGAGGAGATGGTCAGAGACCGTAGACATACTACAGGAGATGATCAGAAAAAATAAACATGCTATAGGAGTTGTTGGGAGTCTGGGGGGATGCTTTAACAGTCAGTCATAGACTGAAGACTCCTACAGCCCCCGTAAGGCCTAACACTGGATGTCTAACACTGCTGTTAGGGGCATCTGGAATGTTTCTTCTGCCTCCATACGCTCCTGAATGTCATCCTACGAGTCCATGAACACATATTTGTTTAGAGGTATTGAGAGGCAGGGGCATCAAGAGGGTGGGGGGGGGGGGGGGCGTCCAGGAGCAGCAGCATTTTGGCAGGAAAATGCTTGATGCGTGTTACCGATATAGTCATGTGGGGGGGGGGGGGGGGGGGGGGGGGGGGGGGGGGGAGTAATATTAGTTCATTACATAAGCAGGTCCAGCTTCCCGCATTGCCAGTCTCAGCGCCGGATCACCGAACTCTGCGCTTCCACCCAACTTTGTTATAACACACAAACATTCCAGGGAAAGCAGGTGATGTCAGCAGCCTCACACCATGGAGATCCGTCACATCACCTGCTCTGCTTGGCAAGTCCATATGTTATTTATAATAAAGTTCCACGCTTGGGGACTGGAGGGCGCGGGATCCGTCATCTGATTAAATCATTAAAATTGAGGAAAGTGCAGAAAACGTCAGCGTTCCAAGAGATAAATGAAAGATCAGGACAATGACTTGGAAGAACGCATCCTCATAAACAGTCACCAATGGAACCCCCACATATCTATTCCGACAGAAACCTATAGAAGTGTCAGTCAACCAACAAAACCGATTAGGAGATTATTAATTATTATAGTTTTTTTTTTTTGATCTGTTCATCTTCCCATTGAAAAATGTTTTGTTACATCTATTTGATAACAGCAAAAAAAAAAAAATACCAGTTGATCCTGCCAGAAATCGTATGAGCTGCTGACTTCCTGTGCTCGTCACCTAAGCTGTACTCTATTAGTTACAATGTTCTCAGTTATCTCTGTGGACTGTAAAGGGCCTTCCACCGATGTTATGGAGAAGACTTCCTGTTCTATGGTGACAAACACTGCTCCTCATAGGTGCAGTACAGTATATGAGCGTTGTCACCCCTCGGATTATTATTATACAGGATTTATGGCGCCAACAGTTTGCTCAGCACTTTACAATATAACGGGGGAGACAATACAGCAACAATACAGATCAATACAAGAGGGACAGGAGGGCCCTGATCCTGGGAGCTTACAATCTAGTTATCATAACACTTCACCCTCCCTACTCTTTAAAGCAGACAAAAAGAATGGGGTTTATGTCTGCTGCTAGACCTTTTTTTTGTGGGGGGGTTGTTGGATAAACTGTCCCAGTTCCTTCTTGGGTTCTGAAGAGAAGCACATACAGCTTGCTGGTATACAGTCCACGTGTGCCCATATCCGTACAGTAGAATTGCAGCCTGAACCAAAAATACTAGTCTTTAACCCCTTCCAGTCCGGACGCTTTCCCCCCTTCCAGTCCGGACACTTTCCCCCCCCCCCTCCAGTCCGGACGCTTTCCCCCTTCCTCCTTCCAGTCCGGACGCTTTCCCCCCCCCCCTCCAGTCCGGACGCTTTCCCCCCCCCCTTCCAGTCCGGACGCTTTCCCCCCCCCCTTCCAGTCCGGAAGTCCGGACGCTTTCCCCCCCCCCACAAGTCCGGACGCTTTCCCCCCCCTACAAGTCCGGACGCTTTCCCCCCCCTTTTTCCAGTCCGGACGCTTTCCCCCCTTCCAGTCCGGACACTTTCCCCCCCTTCCAGTCCGGACACTTTCACCCCCCTTCCAGTCCGGACACTTTCACCCCCTTCCAGTCCGGACACTTTCCCCCCCTTCCAGTCCGGACGCTTTCACCCCCTTCCTGCCCAGGCCAATTTTCAGCTTTCAGCGCTATCACACTTTGAATGACAATTGCGCGGTCATGCAACACTGTACCCATATGAATTTTTTTAGCATTTTTTTTAGATAGCTAAAGCTTTAGTTTGGTGGTATTTATTCACCGCTGGGATTTTTATTTTTTTTGCTCTTTAAATGAAAAAAGCAAAAAATGTTGAAAAAAAAGTTTTTCTTATAAAATTTTGCAAATAAATAATATTTCATCATAAATCTTGGCCAAAATTTATTCCGTTATCTTTTTAGTAAAAAAAAAAATAACCCAAATTAGTTTAGAACCAAAAATAATTTTGAAAAACATTTTTATATTTAAGGGTTTTTTTTTTTACATACTGTCACCCTAGCAGTACAGTGTCACCACTGATTGCTTTTACACCCATAAAAGGTAATCATTTCTCCTTCTCTCTAGCTGCATTCTTGCAGCCATTGAGAAATGCTGTGTGAGCTGTGATTGGTCACAGCTTGTCACATGGTACAAATCTTCATGTACATCAGGTGCTGCTATTGAACAGAGTGCTACCATCGGCTGGCATTGTTGCTCAGTTTTTCCACTTTCCCTGAAGAAGTGGGTCATATACTATGTAACGCGTCGGATCTTTTGATTGATTATCCAGTTTTGGATTAAATTTTATGGAAAAGCATTTTTGGTTTCTACTGGAATTGCCACCCTTCTCAAATTACACCCAATGATCCATCATTTGGGTAGTCTATATGAATTTAGATATTTCCACTTACCAACATTTACCTCTCATGTCTGTAATCGTTTCACCAGTTTGATGATCAATTCTTTTGATGGTATCAATAGGGTTTTAGGACTCTTGCCCGTCACGTTTTCTCTTTACCCACTATTATTATCTCTTTATATTTTTGGTGGCTCATTATATATGTGCCTACAATCGGCGTTTGTCTTGCTTACCACTCTGTGTGGTTTTTTGTATAATGTCATAATAAAATATGCTCCATTGTATCCAATATGGTTTATGATTATGCATCTTTATACCCAGAATGGTATGGGACCTTAAAAGCCCCATTATTTTCCCCTACTAGGGTTTATTTTCTTTATTGAACCAAGATAAAACCAATCCAGGCAGTGGAAATACAGTGCGGGGACTGAATCCAGACAGTGGAAATACAGTGCGGGGACTGAATCCAGGCAGTGGAAATACAGTGCGGGGACTGGCAGGAAAACATGATTCACGCTAAAGACAGCGCCTATTCATTACGTGCTCATTAAATCGCAGTGCAGCCAATCAGGAAGGGATCTGGAAAAGCTATTGGGGATCACTGGAGTAGCAGTGCCAGCTATATCGATTTGCAGGTTCCACAGGGATCACATAGTTATGGCACCATCAGGGATGTTGAATTCCTATTGGCCATGCAAACCCATTCCATGAAGCTTTCTACGCACTGTTGTTGGGCTCATCTGAAGGCCACACCGAGTTTGGAGGTCTTTAGCTATTGACTCTGCAGACAGTTGGTGACTTCTGCGCACTGTGCGCTTCAGCATGTGCTGACCCCGCTCTGTCATGTGACGTGGCCTACCACTTGGTGGCTGAGTGGCTGTTGTTCCCAGTTGCTTCCACTTTGTTATAATCCCACTAACAGTTGAGTGTGGAATATTTAGTAGCCAGGACCCCGATTTAGCCCTGGTTCACATATATGCGGCAGTGCGGGGCGCGTTTTGCTCGGGCACGAGAGCCCATTAATCAGAATGGACTCCCGTGCCCCGGGACACGCAGGGGAGAAGTCCTTACACTTCTTCCGAAAACACAGCTGAGGTTCCCAGTAGGGTTGCGTTTTCCAGTGCGGGTGACGTGCCATTAGAACTAATGGCACCCGCGGGTCCGCAATTCTCTTTGCGGGTGGTGCAGCTGCACGGATTTTCGTGCGTATCCGCAGCGGCACCACCCTCACAGATGAGAACCAAGCCTTAGCCCTTGGACATGTAGTTTTTTAAAAAAATTTCTGCGCCCCGCATCCATACACTCTGCGCCCCGCATCCATACACTCTGCGCCCCGCATCCATACACTCTGCGCCCCGCATCCATACACTCTGCGCCCCGCATCCATACACTCTGCGCCCCGCATCCATACACTCTGCGCCCCGCATCCATACACTCTGCGCCCCGCATCCATACACTCTGCGCCCCTCATCCATACACTCTGCGCCCCTCATCCATACACTCTGCGCCCCTCATCCATACACTCTGCGCCCCTCATCCATACACTCTGCGCCCCTCATCCATACACTCTACGCCCCTCATCCATACACTCTACGCCCCTCATCCATACACTCTGCGCCCCTCATCCATACACTCTGCGCCCCTGATCTGGTGCAGCCATACAAATAATTCAGCTTAAATGCTCCCTCCCCCCCTCCTAACACTTATGGTCATGTACACTGCAGCTGCTAAACTGACATTTAGGAGCTTTTCTGCGTTTTTTTTTTCAGCAGCCCCTGAACTCTCCCTAATGTTCTCCTATGTGTCCGTGTTCACATCGTCGTTTACAGGCAGTTGAGTTTACAGTCGTTTTTTTTTTAACGCACCAAACTTGCGTTCAGGAGTAACGCAGCTAAACGCGTTTATAAGCGTTTGAATTTTTTTTTTTTTTTAACTCTTCCATTTCCAGATGCTGTCCGGAGCCTTTTTCATCATGAAGAATGCATGCAAAGTGTTTTCCTGGTACTCAAATGGACCCGGTACGCCATACTTTGAGGTTTCGCATGAAAGAATATATGTTAGACACCGCTGCAATAATTTCTGCACATAAATGAGCCGGAACATCCAAACACCACAAAAAAAAAAAAAAAAAAAAAAAAAGACAGCTAATCTCAACACATACTGCTCTCTCTGCTTCTACTCTCTCTATTTCTCTCAAAATGTCTGAAACAGTTAATTTTTTACTGTTTTTTTTAGTGTATTCTGGGCATTTTGAGAAGGTCTCCTGAGGTTATCTTTAAAAAACGCTTCTAAACGCAAACGCTCATAAATGCGCGTAAACGCGGTATGCAAACGCAGCTAAACAGACGTTTTTTAACCTGTGTTTTCCAGCAATCAGTTTCCATCATTGTGTCCCGTGTACATGGAGCCTTATGCTGACTAACCTGTGTAAGAAAA